TTGACGTGCTGAGTGTGCACATTTTGATTATTTTCCGAAGATTTTTGTCCGGGTATTTTTGATTCGGCGGTGATTTTAGTCGACTGGATTTTTCTGTGTAATTGAAAATTTTCTGTGCAGTAGAATAAATGTTCTGAAATGTGATTATCTACATTCTGTGCGAATTTGTGCAGTAGAATGAATGTTCTGGAATGTGATTATCTATATTCTGTGCGAATTTGTGCAGTAGAATGAATGTTCTGGAATGTGATTATCTATATTCTGTGCGAATTTGGTGAAATTTTATTTGCAGGAAATTTTGTGTAAATTCTGTCTACTGCCGTTGTGCTGCCCGATTTTTGTCTGATTTCTGAATTGCCTGGATTTCTTCTGAATTGAAATGCTATCTGTATGTGCTATAAAAAGGGAGCTATAAGGGGTCTGAATCCTATGAGATTCAGTTAGTGTCTGGGAAATCTGAAATGAGCTCAATCTGAAATCTGAAATCTGATATCTGTTCTGTTCCGGATCCGATGAATTCTGTTCTGGTGCTATAAGCACATTTGTTCTGGTGCCGTGAGCACAAAGGGAGGCATAAGGGGCCTGGATCCTATGAGATTCAGTCAGTGTCTGGGAAGGGCATAAGGGGCCGGAATCCGTAGAGATTCTGTCAGTGTCAGGGCATTTAGCTATGAATTAAATATTATCTGATATCTGATTTGATATGATTCTGATTTCCGTATCTGTTCTGTAAGATTCTGTTATGTCTGATCTGTTCTGTTTCTGATTTCTGATTTCTGTTTCCGTACCATTCTGTTCTGATATGATCTGAAATTCTGATTTCTGATTTCTGTATGATTCTGACTCTGTTGATTTATTCTGTTCTGTGATCTGATCTGTACGACTCTGATTCTGATTTGATATCTGTCCGTATAAGTTCTGATTTTCGATTCTGTTCTGATTCGATGTACGATTCTGTTCCGATTTCTGATCTGATTTCTGTCTGATGAGTTTGGTTTTGGATTCTGAGAATTTTGATTGGAGGTTTGTTGCTTTGCTGAGCTGTTGAGCTCACTCTTGTTTTCTGGTGGTTTTCAGGTTCTGGGAAAGGGAAGGAAGTCCAGGAGTAGAGTTCTGAGTTCTGATCCGTATAGGTATTATTTGTACTGGGAAATGGAAGGAAGTCCAGGAATAGATTCAGAGTCTGATCAGTATAGGTATTTGTTTGTACCTTTTGATTTTTGTACAGTCATGGCTTTTCTGTTCTGTCTTTCTTTCTGTTCAAAAGCCATGTACTGTATTTGTAGATGATTGTTTTGAGGAAAAGAAAAATATAGATGTTTTGTTCCGCTGCATTTGGTGACTTATAGTAGCTCTGTTGTTCTGTGTTTGTGTGTTGTTTTAATTTGGAAGATTCAGTTCAGTAACCAAATTCCAAAGCCAGATCCTGGATAAAAAGGTTTTGTCGCGGCCCGGTGCGAGCGGGATCCGTCCCGGATCGGGTCGGGTCGTGACA